AATATCGAATCGTTATGTTGGACACCTGAAACTAACAATGTTATATGTCAATGATAATTAAACAATAAAATGAAAAATTTGGGGATCCCTGGGTGGCTCAGTGGTTTAGCACCCGCCTTTGGCCCAGGGCGTGATCCTGGAGTCCCGGGATCGAGTCCCACGTCGGGCTCCCTGCATGGAGCCTGCTTCTCCCTCTGCCTGTGTCTCTGCCTCTCTGTGTCTTTCATGAATAAACAAGTAAAATCTTTTTTAAAAAATCAAAAAAATAAAATGGAAAACTAAAAAAGAAAATAAAATTTTTAATCAAAAAAGGAAAAAGAAAATTTCGCTAGGTGAATTAGAGCTCTTGCATTTCTTCGGTTGGAGAGGAGGAGAGAGATGAGGGTTTGGGAAAGCGCAGAGGCAGGGAGTCTGGAGACATTAAAGGTGTCTGGAGGTCGCGGCCTTGGGTGGCGGGAGTACTACCGGCGTATCCGTGTCTACTTGGGGTCTTCCAAGAAGCAGACACCAAGGCGGGGGGCGCCTGAGTTGGAGGGAAGACCCGTGAAGGGTAAAGAAGAGGTTTCCAGGAAAGGCGGGGAGAGCCTGCAGACGGCTCTGCGGTGGGACACCCAGAAAGAGGGGGAGACGGAAGATTGGGGGAGAAAGAGTCTCAAGCTGCAGAGCAGCTCCAGGAACGCTTCGGCCGGGCCCACGGGGAATCCCTGAGCCCGCGGAGCCCGACAGGAACTGAGTGTGTCCCCTCCAAAATGCGTGCATGGAGGCCTAATCCCAAGGTGAGAAGGTTTGGTCCTTCGGGAGGGACAAGGTCCTGAGGGTGGGGCCCTCATAGGAACGGATTAGGGCCCTCATGAGAAGAGGCCAGAGAGCCAGCCTGCGCCCTCTCCCGCATGTGAGGGTTCAAGGAACCGAGCCGGTCTAGAACCCGGAAGAGGGCTCTCGCCGGAACCGCACCACGCTAGCACCCTGCTCTCAGACTTCCAGCCTGGTCCAGGGGGGTCACAGATCACTGCTTCCTTTCTAACCTCCCCGTCCATCACTTGTGAAAACAGCCCAAAGTCAGGCCTGGCCCGAGGCCCACGTCTCACGGGAATAGACCCGTACTAGCAGCCTGGATGCTCAGCCGTTGGCGGGAGCACGTGGACGCAGCAGGGTGTCGGCACGGAGGGAGGGAGCCGAGCCATCCGCCTGGGCCACCCACCCACCGTGCAGCAGGTGGGGGGGTGGGGGGGCATCAGCTTTGTGCCTCTGGTTGCAATGGATGGGGCTCCCCCCCCCATCCAAGCGATTCTCGGCCGCCAGCTGGGCGTCCTACGATCCTACTCTATTCTGACACGACCTACCTGGAGGCGGCATCAGATCCCACAGGTCAGGGACTCAGTCCCACAAGACGGACTCCCTCCCCGTCACCTGTTTCAACGCATCCCTCTTTGGCTTGGATTAATTACTTGGATTAATTACTGAATGACAAGCGTGTAGCATTCTTGCACATTTTCCTCGGTGGGCCCCTGCTCTCATTCCTCTCGCAGATAAACACTGCGGAGTAGAACCTCTGGGCCACAGGGTCGCAGAGGTTGAGCCCAGGGGACTCTGCCAAATGGTTTTCTGAAATAGTCGCATCCGTTTACACTCCCTCCAGCCACATATGCAACACGTGACATCGTCGACATTTGTAATTTTGGCAGTTCTGGTGGGTGTCGAGTTCAGATTTTATTATTTTATTTTATATTTTTTCTCGAGTTCAGATTTTGAAATTCAGCGTGCTGGCCAAGCTGAGAGGGTCTGTGAGCCTGCAGGCAGCTAGTGTGAAACTTCCGCACCCAAGCGCTGCTCAAGCTCTGCACGTGGGCCGCCCCCCCCCCCCGCACCCTTGGAAGTCACTCGAGTCCTCCTCCCCTTCGCTGAGCACTCACGTGGAGCCCACTTGGGCCAGGTCTCATTGCCCTGCACTGGCTCCCACCTCTGCAACCCGCTTCCACCCACCGGAGATTATCCCTGAATGCACAGTCCATGGTGTGCACTGGATTACGACCAAGATTACGACGACGAGCATCACCACCACCACCACCATTTGGACGTGCACGGACGCACAGGCACAAAGGTTAGAGGAAATAAAAGGACGGGAAGTTATCTGTTCACGTAAGAAATTACCTCAAAATTCGGTGGCTTGAGATAACAGGCAGGTCATGGGCGTCTGCAGGTCGGGAGCTGGGGAGGGCTCAGCTGGATCCTTCTGCCCCAAGGCCGCCCAGGGGGCTGCAGGCAAGACCCGGTGTGGTGGGGCCCCGCGGCCTCCCTGGGCCCAGACAAGCCCCCGCGTGGCTGGCAAGCCGGTGCTGGCGCCGGCGGGAGGCCTCGCGTCCTCCGTGGGGCTGCTGGGCAGCCTCGGCACCAAGGAGCGTCTCCCCCTCGCGCCAGTGATCACGAGAGCAAGGCAGGCGCCTGGGAAGTCACGCACGGGCGTTTCCAGGGTCTCCGCTGATCACGCAGGCTCAGCCCCGAGGGTGCGAGGGAGGCAGACAAGGATACGAGTGTGGGTCCCCCCAGCGTCGGTCCGCACCTCCCTTTGCCCTTCCGGAGGCCACCGCTGGGACCAGTTGCCCGTGAGCTGTGCCAGCAGTAGTTTCACACCCGCACAGGAGGTGGCACGTGCGTGCACGCTTTTGCATCTTACACTTCTCCTGCTCCGTAGGTCTTGGAAATCCTTCCACCTCAGCCCGTGGAGACCTGCCTCCTTCCCTGTCGCGGGGCAGCCCGGCCACCGTGTGCACGCGCCCTGACCTAAGTAGCCGCCTGCGCTGGGGATTGGGGTTGGGCCATGACTTCCCTGTTGTAGGCGGAGCCGTGACGAATAAGTGTGAGCGTATACCCCTTTGCACAAACACAATAATGTCCAAGGATAAGTTTCTCGGAGGCTCCTGGTCCCTAAACTTCCTGTTCTTGACATAATGCAGCAGAGCAAGAGTTCCCTGCCAGCCAGGCCCCAAAGGCTGACTTTCTGGCGCCAAAACTCTGCTCCCAGACGTGTCATCCAACACAGACAGTTGTCACCCGGGACGCCCTGTGCCCTGTGCTCTGGGCGAGCGGCCCCGCTCCTGGGGAATCACGAGGCTTGCCCAGGTCTGCCCTGCTCCGGGAGCCTCCCGACGCGGGCGCCCCTGCCCACCCCACTCGGCCGCGGCGCCAGGGAGCCGCTGAAGGAATGAACGACCGAGATGGAGCCTTGTCACCCGGGGCCTCCGAGGGCGTCGGTGAGCCTCGGCCATCCTGAAGATTCTCTTCAGGGGCGACATTCATTTCCTGCATCAGAAGCATTTGTCGAAGGGGCAGCCTTTCCCACGGTTCTCGTTTTCCCCTTTGGCCTGGTCAGAGGCTCACAGGGACACCCGGGATGGGAAACAGGCAGGACGGCGCCGGCAAACATGACAAGGATGCGCAGACTTGGAAGGACAAACGCACACCCAGCAAATATTGACACTGTGGGGCCGGGCCGGGGTGTGGAGGAGGGACCCACGGCTGTCCCGCCCACAGGAGACCAGAGGTTCCCTCTCTTTTTATTTATTTATTTTTATTTTTTTCCCCTTTTTTTTCCCCTCTCGGTTTCAATCTGATCCTGCAGCAATCCAAACTCCAACGATCCTTCCCATTAAAAAAAAAAAAAGGGGGGGGATCCCCGGGTGGCGCAGCGGTTTGGCGCCTGCCTTTGGCCCAGGGCGCGATCCTGGAGACCCGGGATCGAATCCCACGTCGGGCTCCCGGTGCATGGAGCCTGCTTCTCCCTCTGCCTGTGTCTCTGCCTCTCTCTCTCTCTCTCTCTGTGACTATCATAAATAAATTAAATAAAAAATTTAAAAAAAAAGAAAAAAAAAGAATTGCAATCTTGAGAGATCTTCTTGTGACATCAGTTTCCAAACCTCTCAGGGGCTCCTCCTGCAAAACCAATCTCAGAGCCATTCCAGGAGGAATCGTCCCCGGCGCCCCCGCCCCCACGGCTTGCACACTCAGCCTCAGGCGCGTCCCTGATAAAGCAAGTCGCGTGCAGAGTGGCGGCCAGCGACCCAACTGGAGGTCGAGTCCACGACCTGCCCGTGATAAGTAGGACAACCGCTGTTTCACTTTTTTTCTTTATTTGTTCCCCCAACCTCCCGTCTTGAACACTCTCAGGAGAGCACAAGGGTCGTAAGAACCGTCCGAGGGACATGTCTAGTCGGGGGTGGGCCAACCCCGGCCGGTGGCCTGTTTTCACGTGACCCGTCAGCTAACAATGGCTTTTATATTTTTAAGTGGCTGGAAAAAAAAGGAAAATGATGTTTCACAACACACGGGCGGTCAGACGTCGGCGGCGCTGAGGGGAGCTTGCCCACGGGCCGCCGCCCCCGCCAGGCTGCTCTGTGCACCGCAGCGCCGCTTGCTTGCCAGGTCTGGGCTATTTGACCCTGTTCAGGACAAAATCTGCCGACCCCTGACCTGGAGTCGTCACCTGTCACTACTCTGCCCCATTTGCTTTCCCGCCCCCCTGCTGCCACATTTCCCTTGGTCTTGATCCTTTGCCCCAAATGCTTCGAGTCCGCCTCCCTCTCCCCAGCTCAACGCGGGGAACGACCGGCCTCGTCCGGCCTAGTCCGAGCAGAGATCAGCTACTACGAAGGACGAACGACGCGGCCACAGCGCTTGGCGCTTAGACCCAACTTAAGAGGAAGATCCAACACCCATTTCTGGCATTTTCCACCGAGGTGATTGCCCGAACTCCCAACCTAACATCCCGAGCCTCGGCAGTCCCCCGAAGAAAGCCTGCTCCCTGCAGTCTGGAAGGCAGCTTTCCCTCCGAAAGTTCTTCTTACCCGAGGAGCAAATTTAAAAAAAAAACCAAAAAAAAAACAAAACAAAAAAAAAAAACCCCTCGGGGAGAGCTCATTTTTTCCACAGCTTGTGGCTTGGCTGAGTCACCCTCTGCCTTTCCCGGAGTCACGAGTTTTTCCTCGTACTTGCAGGAGCGCGGCCCTCCGCCCAGGCCTGTCCGCCCACAGCTGGTCCCTGCTGGGAAGGGGCGGATGGTCGGACGGACGGACGGACAGCAGGACCAGCAGCCTCCCCGCGGGCACTTCCCAGAGCTCCAGCCGGAGGCGGCGGGGATGGCGGCGCTGGAACCAGGGACCAGGAGGACACTGAGGCCCCGGACGGTCCTGGGCCAGTGGGGAGACCAGCCCCCGGGGGGGCTGACCCCTCTCAGCTCCAGGGCCGACGGGTACGCGTCCTCCCTCTGCCCACCTGCTCCGTGCCAGGCACAGGGCTCGGTGGCGGGGTGCAGTCGCACACATGCCTCCTCCCGAGGCCACCGCACCGCAGCCAGGGCCTTCCTTCCCCCGAAGCCCCTCTTGCCGGGGAGGTGGGGGACCTGGCATGGAGGCGGTCACGGAACACAGTCCCCCTCCAGTGCCACCCCCCGGCCCCTGGCAACAGGCAGTGTGTACCCTTGGGGCGACGTTTCCCGGGGTGTCAGGGTCCCCGCCGGCCTCCCTGGGTCTGAGTCAGCCCCGGGGCCTTGGGCCTGGTCTCCCCTCCGCAGGTACAGAGGCCCGGCTGCCCCGTCGGGACTCAGCACTGCGGGTGCTTATTTATCTGGAAGCACCTAAGAGGGTAAAGCGGGGTGGAGGGACCCACGGACAGGGTGGGGGACTTCGCGGATGGGGTCATGTGCCCAATGTGAAGGGGACAGTTCCACCCGGAGACCGGGGACTGTGTTTTCTGATCCTCTGATTTACCAGAAGGTGAAAATCCTGATTCGAACATGAAAGCTCTCCCCGCGAGTCGGGGGGCTCTGTGAGGCAGCGGCCTGTCCCCTCCGGAGCTAACCGCAGGGAGGGTGGGAGCGGCCCTCCCCGCCGGCCACCTCCACCCCTTCCCTCTCCGGCCTCTCCCGCCCTTCTCCTCCCCTGGCTCATCCCCTTCCCTCCTTAGTCTGCCTGCCGGCCGCACCCCTAGCTGTACCCCAGGCCTGGAGGGGCGCATCCCCTCCCTCCCCTCCTCACGGGCTGTGCCCGCCGGCCGCACCCCCACCACTGCCGGGCTCAGGCCCCCTGGCTCCAGCCTCCAGCCTCCAGCCTCCAGCCCGGAGCAGCTCTGGCTCCTGCCTCCCCGCCCGTGGACACCGTGTGGCCCAGCCGGCTCCTCTCCGAAGCGCCCGGGGCCTGCCCTTCTGCGCTGTCTAGGGAGCCTGGCCTCGCTCTAGCGCTGGACGCACGGAGGGAGAGGAGTACAGGGCGGCCGGGGGCTCCCTGCCCAGCTGGGGGGACAAGCCCTGGGCACTAAGCAAGTGAGCGGGTAAGATGTACACACTGTAAACCTGGGTGAGGTCGCACAGGGTGGGGGTCGGGGTGCGGAGCTGCCCGAGCGCCAGGGAGTGAGGGCCCGGACCCCAGAGCGAAAGGTGCAGCCATCCCGGGAAGGTGTAGGGGGGAGGGACGTGCAAAGGCCCAGAGGTGGGACCGCCTTGGGGTTTTGAGGAAGAGGAAGAGGACGTGGGAGATGAAGTGCGGGGAGTGGGGGGACCAGAGGGAGGCTGGGCAGGCCTCCTGGAGGGGCGAGGACTCGAACTTCCTTCCCGGTTCCAGGAGGCGGGAGGGCCTGGGTGGGGACGCAGCACGCAAGGAGCCTCGGTCCACCAAACCCGATTCTCCTTCAGGCTCTGCTCAGGTTTCAAAGGTCCCATGATGAGAAGGTCAAGATGTAAAAAGGATTAAATGCTGCCGGTTTGTCACCCGCGGAAACCTACAGTAGTTGCTGAGAGGAGAAGACTGGCAGCCAGCAGCTGGGAGCCCCGCCAGGCAGTTGCGCCCGTGGTGACACCCCCGCTGCCCTCGGGGTCCCGTGAGCACCCTCTCCAGCGCAGGGCGAGCAGCCTGGGTGTGGGGTGTGTACAGCAGGGGACCAGGGGGCAGGGGGGGACCCGGGGAAGTTACCCTGGAGCAGCAGCCGGGGGAGCATCCGGGGTGCGGGGGGCTCAGTGGGGGGGTCCTCTCGGGGTCACCCTGGAGCAGCAGCCCGGGGAGGATCCGGGGTGCGGGGGGTGCAGGGGGGGCCTCGCGGGGTCGCCCTGGAGCAGCAGCCCCGGGAGCATCCGGGGTGCGGGGGGTGCAGCGGGGGGGGGCCTCTCGGGGTCACCCTGGAGCAGCAGCCCCGGGAGCATCCGGGGTGCGGGGGGTGCAGGGGAGGCCTCGCGGGGTCTCCCTGGAGCAGCAGCCCGGGGTCTCCCGCAGGGTCAGTGGGTCCAGGTCCCGCCCGCCCCGCCTGGGGCGCTGGGGCTGCGCGCAGGTCCCGCCGCGGGCTCCGAGGTGGCGCCCAGGCCCCGCCCCCCGCGGTCCGGGAACCCGATTGGCTGAGCCGGCGGGGGGCGTGTCCGGGGCGTGTCCGGGGCGTGTCCGCGGGGGGAGGCGGCGCGCGGCGGGCGGGGGCGCAGACCCGGAGCGGAGCGCGGCTGGCTCGGCGCGCAGGGCCCCGCGGCGGAGGTAGGGCCGGGCGGGCGGGGGGGGCCGCGTGGGGCGTGGGGGGAGCAGCCTGGCCCCGCAGCCTCGGGGCTTGTGCCAACCGTTGTGGGGGGCGTGGGGGCCGGCGGGACCCCTCTCCGGGCCCAGAGGCCGCAGGTCCTCCCCCGAACCCCGAACCCCGAACCCCGAACCCGAAGGGTCAAGCCGGGCCGCTGGTGGGAAGAGGAAGGCTCCGGAGACCCCGAAGTTGGGAGCGGCCGGACTCGACCTCCGCGGGGCCAGGGGGATGCTGGGGTCAGCGCGGCGGGGAGGGGGCCAGTGGGAGGGAGGCCCTGCTGGGGCCCCTGCGGGCAGTTTCCACTTGGCCCCGGGCTGCTCCCGCGCATAGTTTCCACCGGGGTCGGTGCAGGCGGAGAGGCGGCTGCCCTCGCCGGTCCTGCACACGTCAGCCCTGGGGCTGCCAAGGGGGTGAGGCCGCCCGGCTGGGCTGGGGGCCTGCCCGGCCCCCGAGGGACCCCTGGGTGCGGGTGCAGCAGGGGTCGGGCTGTCAGAGGGCGGGTGCTGCCCTCTGGACTTGAGGATTTCCGATTCTTTTTTTTTTAAGGTTTTATTTATTCACAAGAGACACAGAGAGAGGAGCAGAGGCACAGGCAGAGGGAGGAGCAGGCTCCACCGGGGAGCGCGAGGCGGGACTCGGTCCTGGGACCCCGGGGTGGCGCCCTGGGCCGAAGGCAGCCGCTCCAGCACGGAGCCCCGGGGCGTCCTGAGGATTCCGGATTCTGTCTTGGGGCGGGAGCAGCCCTCCTGCAGCTGGGCCCTCGGGCAGCAGTTTTGATGAGGGAGGTGGAACCTCCCCTGGGGGGCTTCGGGGCGCAGCCTCGGCTCCTTCCCGTGCTGCCTGGTGAGCGGCAGGCTCCGGGCTAAGAGCACCTGTGGCCACTTTCCTCACTCCCAGCTTCTCCGTGGAGAAGGGCCTCCGGGAAGCACGGGGGGGGAGGGGGGACACGGGTCGGCGCCTCTGGAAGGAGGGGCCCTTGGGTCGTGGCGCCCTCCTCCTGCCCTTGGACAGAAACCCAGATCCTCGCCTGGGCTGAGGCCCCTCAAGCGTGGCCTCTGCTGGCCTCTTCCGCGTTACCCCCTGCCCCTCGCTCCTTCCTCTGAAGCTCTGGAGCTGTTCCCAAGGCCCAGAACATTCCCCCCCCCCCCCCTCCGGGCTTTGCAGGACTGGCTCTTCCCGTTCCTGGCAGGTTGGTGTAAGGTTACTTCCTGGCGGCCTTGCCTGCCCCCCTCCCCCGCCGCCGGGTGACCGCCCTAGGCCTGTCCCTCGGGGAAGTCTGCAGGAGGGCTGGGGGCCGGGCTCTGCTGCTTTGCCCTAAGCTGGTGCCAGCCCAGTAGGACCATGGGGGCGCACGACGGGCCTTCCAGGCCATATTCGGAAGGTGAAACAGGCAGGTGTGGGAGCTCGGTGGGGCCTGGGGCTGCAGGGAAGGGGGGTGGCCGTGCGTCAGCCTGGCCCCGGGCAGAGAGGCCAATGGACGGTACAGGGGCCGCATCCCGACTCCGGGCCTCTGACCCTGGCCGGGAAGCCCCCTCTTGATAAGCAGTGTCCCCAGCTGTAGGTCTAACAGAGGGTGGCCCTGGGTGCCCCACCGAGGTCCTGCTCTCCAGGGTTCCCGGGGGCGGGGGCAGACATCGCTCTCGAACCACACAGGCTGCTTCTGAGCGGAGGACAGGAGAGAACAGCGTCCCCCGGGACGCATCCCCGGAGCCGGGCCCTCGCCCATCTGCCACCTCGGGGGTGTAGACCGGGGATCTGCAAACCTCTTCTGTAAGGGGCCCAATGGTAAATATTTTAGGCTTTGCCAGCCAGTCTCTGTTGCCGTGTCCCAGGGAACTGGATTTAGAAAAATGGGCAGGGGTCAGACTGGACGTGCACCTGCCGGCCCCGCTGTAGCTGGCGTGCGAAGCCTCCCCCGCGAGGCCCAGGACTGAAGCCACCCCGCAGGGCTTGGGGCACGGCTCCGAGACCCGGTGTTCACGGGGCACCGTCAGCCCCCTCGGGGGGATCCCATGTGTCCAGGGGGCCGCCCAGGAGCCTGGCAGCCTCCCAAGCCCTCCCCCCTCCCTGCGCCACACACCGACCCTTCCACAGAGTCCGCCCCCCGCCAGCCCCGGGCGGGGCACCGCGCCGCAGGCACCCGAGGCAGGCCGCCCCGGGGACAGCGGGATCAGCCTGTGTCCCCAAGGAGGGAGGCTCACCTCTTTGGGGAGAGCAACAAAAGCAGGAGTCCCCATCTGCTTGGGCGCGGGGCTGCTGCATTTACAAGACGAATCTCCAGGCCGCGTCAACCAGGGTGAAGTGGCGGGCGTGGGAAGGGTGGGCACACGGGGGCGGGGGCAGCCCTCCCCCCAGCGGGGACCCGCCCAAGGCTCCTGGGGGAGAGGGGCAGCAGAGCCTCTGGGAACCCCAATCCGCGTATGGGATCGGCTCAGAGCCCAGCCCCCCTGCACAGATCCCGACCTTCCCGGGGCCAGCAACCGGCCGGGGGCCGCTGGGGCCTGTGGAGGGTCTCAACGTCGCCGACTGGGGCCAGGTAGCAGGGGCCCTGGCGCAGGGGTCCCGGCCCCCCACAAGGGACAAGGAGGCGGTGTTGTAGGTCCTCTCTTGCCTAAACCTCTCCGCTCCCCGGGTGCTGCTGTGCGCGTCCTCCGTGCCGGCCACCTGGGCCCCTCGGGTCCGAGCGGGGACCTGGGCGGGCTGGCCTCTCTTGCTCACCGGACCCCGCAGGCCGGATGGGGGGCCGTCTCCCTCGGCGCAGAGCCCGCCCGCCTCCGTGCCAGTTGTGTCAAGCCTCGGCCTGTGGCCCCAAGATTGGGTTTCCGGCCGGTTCGGCCAGGCAGCTGGCCCCGCAGGTGCGCCCGGAGGGAACAAGCGGCATCCGTCCTCGGGGCCCCCTCCCGGCATCTCCTGTGTCCCTGTGCCCGGACACCGCGGTCCGGGGGGGCCCGCCGGGCGACCCAGTGCAAGCCCCACGGGTGCAGGCCCAGCCGGCGGCGGACACCTTCCTCCTACGAGGAGAGGGAGTCGCCCAAGCCCGCGTTCCCGCCTCCTGGGGTTGCCGTCCTGGGAATCTGTCCCTTTGCTGCTGCTCGTTTTAAAGAAAAGCAACAGAACGTGGTAGATGAGGGTGGATCGTACGCGCCCCCGCCCGTGGCGGGTGCCCTCCCCGGCCACCCTCTCCCGACTGTGCTGGGTCCATCATTGGGGTCTAGCGGCCTTCACCGTTCGTAGGCGGACAGCTGGGCGCTGTCTAGTGTGTGTCACCCAGTGAGACATCCGACGAGTCCTCGGCCTGGGCGCGGGACGCCTCTGCCCTGTGACGTCACAGCCCTTCTCCCCCATCCCCCCGCAGCCCTGCAGCCACCTTTCTACCTGTGCCCCTGCGTTTGGCTGCGTGTGATGCCGCAGGGGAGGGGACCCAACCTGTCCCTCTGCGGCCTGCTTATCCCACTGAGCGTCAGCGTCTTCGGGGTTCCTCTGTGTGGTGGCAGGAGGGGTCAGAGCCGCCTTCCTTTTGGGGCTGATTACTCCTCCGTCTGCACATTTTGCTCAGCCTTTCGTCCGCCGACGGACCTGTGGGTTCCTGGTACGGCTCGGCTGCCGCGGCGATTGCCCCGTGAACACGGGGTGCCCCCCGGCCTGGAGGCCCTGCTTTTGGTCCTGTGGGGAGACCCCCAGGATTGGAATCCCGGGGCCGCATGGTTTCTGTGCTCGTCCCCTCCCGCGGAGCCTCTGCGCCCTGCGCCGCACCCCTTGTAGTTCCCACGGGGAGCCCGCGGGGCTTCGACTTCTCCGCATCCTCCCCACACCTGTTATTACTGCCTGGGGTTTTTGTTATTTGGGGTTTTGGGGGTTCTTTTTTTTTTTTTTTTTTTTTTGATAGTCGCCACCCTCATGAGTGTGAAGTTCCATCCTTTCCGTCTTCACTCGTAGGTCGAGTACTTGAACACTTGAGACGTGTGATGTCGACACGGACGCTGTCACGTACCGTTTGGCAGGTTGCTTTTTCCGCTCGGCCTGTGACGTCTGTGCTCACTCCGTCTTGAGCCGCGTGGACTGGGTGAGTGGTCGTAGGTGCCGACGGCCGCCCGGGTGCGAGCCGCCCGGCCGGGTGCCCCGTCCCATCCCCCGCCCCGTGCTAGGCGTCTCTCAGCTGGGCTGCAGGTCGCCAATCCCCTGCTCTTGGCTGCGTCCCTGTGCTGCGCCGTGAGCCCCCCCTCCCCCCCGGGGAGCCCTCAGCCGCCCGTCCCAGCCCCCAGCCCCCAGCCCAGGGGCCAATAATCAGCTCGGTTTGCAACACACGGCCAAGATCAGCAACCTAAAAGTCGTGGTTCTTACATAAGGCAGCAGGGGCAGCACTCCTCAGGATGCCTGTGGTCTGAAGGGGGCAAGTGACATGTGACTCGGGGGCCCCCCCAGCACCCCTCTTGTGCAATGCATGCAGCCTGCACCCTGGGCCCCGCTCTGGCTTCCCACAAGCCGTCTGACTTAGAGAACTGCAGCGTGGTGACCCAGAAATGTGTGATCCGCGTGGCCGGGTGCACGGAGGCGGCGGTGAGCTCAGCTCTCACCTGCTTCCTCTTCAGGAGTCGGAGTCGGAGCTGACTCATGCACAGCGCGCCCTCGGGCAGCTTTGCAAAGGCTCCTCCGCTCACTAGCGACTCCCGACTCCCGGGACGCCTGTGCTCGCCCCGTCCCAGCCCCGGGGCTGCTCTAGTGACCGAGAAAGGGCCCCTGGTCTCGTGGGGGCGGGAGATAGGAACCCCAGGAGCAAAGGACAGAGAGACAAGAAGGCGTCGGCCCTGCGAAGTCCCGTGGAGAGAAACACAAAGTAGGGTAACGTCTTGGAGAACGACGCCGGCAAGCGTTTTCCGTAGAGGCCAGGTGGCATCCTAGGCCTCGCGGCCGGGGCTGTGTCCGCCGCGGCCGCACGAACGCCGCCAGGGACCCGGGTAGCTGACGGGACGGCTGTGTTCCAATAAAACTTTATCTACAAAAATAGGCTGTGGGCCAGATGCGACCCTCGGGCCCTAGTTTGCCGACCCTGTGCGGGGTTAGGGGAGGCTCCCTGAGCTGGGGCTGTCGCAGGGCCTTTCTGGGGGGAGATGAGAACCCAGAGCCCAGTCACAGGAAGGAGCCGGCGAGGGACGACGTGATGGCACCTTGCTGTTGCTTCAGTGTAGCTGCCTGGTGAGACGGGGTGCGGGGGATAAGACTGTGGAGCTGGGGCGCCTGGGGGCTCAGCGGGTGAGCGTCTGCCTTCGGCTCAGGGTGCGACCCCGGGGTCCTGGGATCGAGTCCCGCATCGGGCTCCCTGCAGGGAGCCTGAGTCTCTCAAGAGCAAATAAATTAAATATTAAAAAAAAAAAATGGTGCAGCTTGCTCATGGGTTGAGTGTTGGGGCTACAGGAAGGAGGAGGTTCACGGATGTTCCTGGCTTTGGGGTTTGAACCAACAGGTGAGCAGTGGTTCTGTTCATGGAAAAGAAGAGCTGGAGGGAAAGGCGGGCTTTGCGTTGGGCTTGTTGAATTTGAGGAGCTTCTCCCATGAGCAGGTGGGAGGTCGTGTGGGCAGGTGGACGTCGGCGCAGAGAGGCCAGGGCTGGAGGCCTGGCCTGGGGAGTCAGGGTATTTGGGTGGCGGGTGTGAGTCCGGGGGTCACCGGGAGGGTGTGTGGCCTGAGCAGAGGGGGCCTGGGTGAGATCTGGGCCACCAAGGTTTTGTGCTTGGCAGAGGGGGAGGGAGGGGGCCTCACAGTCCATGGAGGAAGGCCCTGAGCCCCCTGCTTACCCACAGAGCCTCAGTTTCCCCCAGCAGCGGGCGGCTCTGCCACTGAGGGCTGGTGTGAGGATCCATAAGGTAGTCGCTCGGCGCGGGGTGCCTGGGGCGCCGGCAGGGGTGACCCCTGAGCCCCAGGCCGAGGGAGCGGCTTGCAGGCCTGTGAGGGTGGTGCAGTGCGCGGTGGCCGAGGGGTGCAGACCCCTGTTGCCTGGCCCTCACCCTCCCCCGCCCGGGGAGGCCCTCCAAACCCCTGCCCTTGGGTGGGGAGCGTGAAGTCGTGTCCTCGCCAGGCTCCCGCGGGGCGCCAGGCCCCACCCCCCGGCCTCCAGGGGCTTCCCCGTGGTCCCCCAGGTTGGCCTGTGGCCTCCAGGGCGGCGCGTGTGCGGTTGGGTGACGCGCGGCGGGTCAGCGAGCGGGGGGCCCGGGCGGGGTGTGGGCCCGAGCCCCCCGCTGACCCCCGGCCCCCGCCAGGCCGCCGGCGACGATGGTGGATTACCTGGCCAACACGGAGATCAACAGCCAGCGCATCGCCGCGGTGGAGAGCTGCTTCGGGGCGTCGGGGCAGCCGCTGGCGCTGCCGGGCCGGGTGCTGCTGGGCGAGGGCGTGCTCACCAAGGAGTGCCGCAAGAAGGCCAAGCCGCGCATCTTCTTCCTCTTCAACGACATCCTGGTCTACGGCAGCATCGTGCTCAGCAAGCGCAAGTACCGCGGGCAGCACATCATCCCGCTGGAGGAGGTGACGCTCGAGCCGCTGCCCGAGACCCTGCAGGCCAAGAACCGCTGGATGATCAAGACGGCCAAGAAGTCGTTCGTGGTGTCGGCCGCCTCCACCACGGAGCGCCAGGAGTGGATCAGCCACATCGAGGAGTGCGTGCGGCGGCAGCTGCTGGCCACGGGCCGCCCGCCCAGCACGGAGCACGCGGCGCCCTGGATCCCCGACAAGGCCACGGACATCTGCATGCGCTGCACGCAGACGCGCTTCTCCGCCCTCACGCGGCGCCACCACTGCCGCAAGTGCGGCTTCGTGGTCTGCGCCGAGTGCTCCCGGGAGCGCTTCCTGCTGCCGCGCCTGTCGCCCAAGCCCCTGCGGGTGTGCAGCCTCTGCTACCGCGAGCTGGCCGCGCAGAAGCGCCGGGAGGAGGAGGAGGAGGAGGAGGGGGGGGGCGGCGGGGGCGCCCCGGGGCAGCCGCGGGCCTACCTGGCGGGGGCCGAGTGCGGGGCCTCCAGTGGGGACGACGAGGACTCCGACGAGGACAAGGAGGGCGGAGGGGACGGCGACTGGCCCAGCCGCGTGGAGTTCTACGCCTCGGGCGTGTCCTGGTCAGCCTTCCACGGCTGAGCGGCCGCCAGACGGGCCCCCGGGTGCCCCGAGACGGCGGCGGGGCGCTGGGATCGGCCCCGGGGCCTTCGTGCCGGGCACGGGCACCCTCCTCTGGCGCCTCAGGGGATTCCCTTTCCACTTGGCAAACCCACGTCGCCTTGGCCTCCTGGGACCTCGCGCCTTTTCTCACCTGCGGCCCCAGGTGACCCCTGGAGCCAGACAACGGCAGCACCTTCCAGGACCAGAGGGAAGACGGGACGGGAGCCCTGCGCCTGCCTCCCAGACGCGCACACCCGCGGGAGGGCCGGGGCCCTGGAGACCGGGTCGGCCCCTGCCCCTCGCGGTGCCCGTGCCCTGCTGGCTGGCCCCTCGCCGGCCCAGAGCCTGCCCTCCAGCCGTGGGGCCCCCGCCTCCGGCCCCATGTCGCCCCTGCCCGGGCGTCCGGGGCTCTGGTCCCCCTCAGTCCCGCCCTCATCCGTCCCCGTGCCCGGGAAAGCAGCGTTCCCTGTTAGGACCCCTCATGGCAAGTGTCAGGAACCCTGCCCAGGCTCTGCTGTCACAATAAAAAGAACGTTCATTGACTCGTGTGGTCTCGCCTCAGTCACGGCTCCTCGGGGGCCGAAATCCTGGCAGGTGAGCCGCCCGCCATGCGGGGCGCTCCTGGGAACACTGGCGGCCCAGTGGGTCGGACACGATGCCACACCCGTGGTCCCCGAGCACGTGTCCCGTCCCCCTGGGCCCACCTGGGGCTCTGACCACCGCCCGGCACCCGCAGCCCCGTCCCCTGGCGTGAGTCGTCCAAACAGAAGGGCAGGGAGCAAACGGAGCCCCTCGTCCAGCTCCCCCGGGCCTTCCCGGTTCAGCGCTGGCCCTGCGGGCTCCCCCCGGCCTGCCCCGGGGACGGCGCCGTGGAGTGGGCGGCGACTGGCCTCGCTCAGAGCGAGCGTGTCGGGGCTGGGCCTTGAATGCCAGCCTCCCGGGGCCCGTCCCGCAGCTGGCTACGGGCCGTGGGTCCTTGCATGGCCGCCTGCCGGGCCTGGGCCAGAGCCCGCCGGGGCAGCGGGGACGAGGGCAAGGTCGCCGTCTGCTCAAGTAGCGACTCGGGCCAGGAGAGCGTCCCCAGGCCACGTGGCAGGTGCCGAAACCCAGCCCGGCCGCTGGGCCCCGGGTCACAGCCGCTCTCCTGGTGCCTGGGAGAGGGGCAGGCGCCGGGCAGCCTGAGGACGGGGAGGGAAGGAGGCCGGCCCGAGGCTGCTGGGGGGCCCCTCCGGCCTCCTCGACAGGGACCTGCTGCGCAGGGACGTGCGCGGGGCCCAGAGCACAAGACCCCCCGTGCAGGGCAGGTGGCCCGAGCCATGCCCTCCCCACCAGGACCCCTGGAGCTGCTCCCCTTGTCCCCCCGCCCAGGACTGCAGGACGGTCGCTGCCTCCTGGGGCCAGGGTATCGGGGGCTGCGAGGACTCCAGGGCTCCAGTGGCCAGCGACCCTCGGGGGCCCTCATTCGTGCGGGCTCGCTGCTCTGTGCCTGCCTGGGGGACACGGTGCGGGTGAGACGCACACGGTCCCCCCTCTTAGGGTGTCTTGCCTGGCGGAGGAGTCAGGCAGGCCCAGGAGCAGCCAGTGCCCTGCAGGGGTGAGGACGAGGGGAGGCGGCGCTCCTGACCAGGGAACGGCAGTGCAAAGGCCCTGGGGAGAGGAGTCCATGTGTCCTGGAGTGGCGGGGCTGGGCTGCGGCCAGACGGGTGGTGTCATTCCAGAAGCCTCTAGAACCTTCCGCAGGCAGCAGGCGTGCTCTTTGGTTTCAAGGCCCGGCCCTGACGGCTGTGTGCAGAGGGAGCGGCTGGACGGCCACCCCAGACCCCGAGGATCCCCGGGAGGGGAGCCGGGCCCCCGGAGGCCACGGAGGCCCGCGGTGGAGGGTGATGGACGGCAGCCGTGGCTGTCCCCACTCCTCCGGCAGGGCTGCCCCTCCCCTGTCCTGGACGGCAGCCGACGCCGCACCCTGGCCGGGGGCTGGCAGGACCCGAGGAACCTGATCCCCTCGGGATGACGGGGCAGGGGGTCCCCGTGGTGACTCTGGCTGCCACTGACTGGGACCCATCTGGCGCTGGGACGGGGAGGCGGGGCCAGGGTACACGAGGCCATCCTGAGCCCTGACAGAGGGACACACAAAGCCAGTGGCCACAGGTCCCAGAACAGTCGTGCGATCCGGAGGGCTTCCTGGAGGAGGGGAGGTGTGGTCGAGCTCCAGGAGGGCAGGACTTTACCAGAGAGGACAGTGCTCTCCCCAGGGCTGGGGCTCGGGCTCTCCCTGTTTCCTGTCCCCGCCTGTCGCTGCCACTGGAGGTTTGTGGATTGACCGAGTGAATCAAGTAAGAGGTGAGGTGGGGCGTTGGGGCAGAGGTCGGGATAAGGAAATGGCCCTTGCGCCTCCCCCTGGGAGGGTGGGGAGCAGCCCCTCCCCCAGACCCTGGCCGCAGGGGCAGGAAGTGCCCCCCCAGCTCTCTGGGCGCCGGGCCTGCTCTTGGGGACTCAGCCAGGAAGAGGCTGCAGGGGGGCAGCCCCCGCCCGGCGTGAGGGCAGGGCTGACCCCGTTCTCAGCCGGGATCCGGCACCAGGCACCCACTTCCGCGGGCCCGCGACGCCCCCAGGGCTGCAGGAAGGGGCCTCCCGAGGCCTGCGGGCGGGGAGGCCGCCTCCGGGTCCCGGGCCTTCACCCCGGGCGCCCCTGGCCCTCTCCGCGCCCAGGCTGCCCTCCACGGTCGGCCCCCTCCACGCGGGACACCCGAGCCCGGGGCGGCCCTCGGGGTGCAGGCTGCGGCCGCAGGAGGGACTCCGGCCCTGGGCTTGTCCCAGCGACTCGCTGACGCTGAACCCGCCTCGGCCTTTGCCTGCGGCCTCTGGCCCGGCCTGTGCACCCCAGCGCCGCCGCCACCTGCACCCCGCAGCCTCCCTGCTGCCCGGGCCGGCGTGGCCGTCCCATCTGCCCCCCAGGGCACCTGCTGCCCTGCTCCGGCTCCCACCCTCCGTGTTTCATGAGGGGCCTGGGTGGGCCTTCGAGGCCGGGCTGCTTGAGGGCTGGGGGCCCCTCACTCATCATTCGCCGGCAGCCCCGCAACTCAGCGGGGTCCACAGACGTCCCTCCTGGAGGGTGGCCTTGGAACTTCCCCGAGTTGTGGGGGGTCGGCTGGGGTCACGGCGCCCTCAAAGGCCCTGGTCCCGAGCTGACCCCGCCGGCTTCCCCTAACCAGCTGGTCCTGCCTCCGTGGGCACCTGCACCCGCACCTTTGAGCCAGACGCTGGGGGGCCCCCGACCTTCCCCTGTGCCCTTCTCCACAACCCAGGCCCAAGTGGGGAGCCTTGGAGCACTGGGGCCCCCAGAGCCGGGCCTGGCCACGCCCCTCGAGGTAGAGTCCTTCCTGCCCAGCAACAGTGAGCACAGGCACCCCTCCCGCCCCTCCCAGCCTGCCCCCTGCCTTCCTGCTACCCCCCCCCACCCCCATCCCCCTGGCTCTGGAGCAGCCGGGAAGGGAGGAATAGAGGCTGACGGTGGGGCTCAAGTCCAGAATTGAGATGAAAATCCAGGAGGTGCCGCTGGGAAGCCGAGGCCCCCGGGGCAGGTGCACCTGACACTCACGGGGCAGGGTCGGTGCCAGGGAGAGGCTGTGGCCCGAGTCCTGTCCCGTGTCCCTCCCGGCGTCCCCGCTCCTGCTGGCTCCCGTCACCACCACAGAGCCCAGCTCTGACTGGAATGTTCCGATGCCGAAAGCAGGCGGCCTGGTGGGCAGGGAGGGAGAGACGAGGGCTGGGGGGAGACCAAGCCAGACATTTCTGGGCAAAAACAAGGGGAAATTTCAATCCCTGGAGTGTCTCTGTAGGGGGTCCTGCCAGATGTTCAGAGCTGAGCTCGAGCCCCAGGAGCAGCTCCCAAGCTGGAGGGAGGGGGGGGGGGGGGGGTGCTCGCGGCCAGACTCCGCGCTGGTGCTGCCCGCTGTCTCTCCACACAGTGGGGCTCCACAGGACCCCCACACCCCGCCCACAGCCACAGCCGGGGGTGGGGCCCAGGCTTCCAGGGTTTGGGAACCCCACACACGCACGTGGGCACACACGGTCACACACACACACACACACACACACACACACACACACTCTCCTTTGTGTTACACAAGGAAGCTTTATGCAGTTTGCAAACTGCCAACATTCTTCAAATGCCAAAATGCTTTCCTTTGCATCCCACCCAAGCCTCCTGGAGCCACCCCCCCCCCCCCCAGAACTAGAGGAAACCTCTCGGCCTTGGGCCCAACTAGCCACAGGCTGGAGCTGGAGCTGGTCTAAGAGAGGAGTCGAGGCAGAGGCGCTGGGAGAGAGGAAGCCCGGCAGGGCCGGATGCAGTCATCACCCCGGGACCTGCCCCGGCTCCCCACGCCCTTCTGTTCCGCACTCACGTCCTCACCCTGGTACACGGTTGGGCTCCCGCCTCCTTGCCCCCCTGCTGGAGGGGGTTCACGGGGTGGGGGGCACGGGTGGGGTGGGGGCACCTGGGCACTCGTTCCTCCTCCAGGCGCTCACTCCCTGCTGTTTCCTGCCTGAAATAATAAAAAAAAAAAGGCGGAGGGGAGACTGGTCTCTACTCCCAATTCCTAGCACAGAGCTCCCAGATGCCTTGGAATGTCCCGGGTGACAGGGGGGCCTGTGCCCTAATGAGGCAGAGCTTAGTGGGCACCAGAAAGGCCAGGCCGTGCTCAGAAGCTTGGGACTTGTAGGGGAAGGGCACCGGAAGCTCATTTAATGACCAGTCGTGATGAAGGTGCCATGAGGACCCCACAAGTACGAGGTTTGGAGAGCTTCTGGGTTGGGGAACCTGTGAAGGAGCTGGGAGGGGGGAGGTGCTGCAGGGGGAGGCCCTGTGGGGGGGGCGCTCTGGGAGGGGGAAAGCACTGGGGGGGAGATACTGCAGGGGGAGGCCCTGGCATGGGGAGGTGCTGCAGGGGGAGGCGCTGGGAGGGGGGAGGCGCTGGAGGGGGCAGCCCTGGAGAGGTGAGGGGTTTGCCTGCCCACGTCTTCCCCGGGGCGGGGTTCATGTGTGTCGTCTGCTCTGTCCTTTATCATAAAGCAGTGAACTAACATTTTCCCCTGAGTTCTGGGGGCTCTGCCAGCAGATTCAGCCCCCAGAGGGGATCGTGGGAAGCCTGATTGCTCTGCGCAGGTGAGGAGGCCAGGTGACCCCCGGGTCTGCCGCTGGAGGACGTGGGAGCAGCTGGTGTGGCCCGCACTGACCTGGGGGACCTGGGGCACCGCGAGCCCGAGCCGGCGTTGGGTGCTGGGGAAGGCAGGCACGGGGTGCGGGCCGGGGCCGGCCGGGAGCGCCGGGAGCCTGCAGGGGTGGCATGGGGGCCGGCATGGGAGTGTTCGTGGGGGGGGCCGCCTCTGGCTGTGGCCACTGGCCTGGGCGAGACGACCGTGCACACCCGGGCACCGCCGGTGGGGCCGGGGCCGCCTGCACCTGCCCCTGGTGCGGACAGGGAGGCCCTGGGTCCCACGGCGGGGGCGCCCGGCCTGGCCCTCTGGAGAGTCGGGGCCCAGGTTGGGCTCAGGACGAGGCTGTCGCAGGCTCGGGGCGGATGTCACTTGAATTAGGGAAAACAGCTCGTGGAACAGAGCCTCGGGCGCCGGGCAGCGGGGCTGCTCCCTTCATGCGAGGCGGAGACACGGCGACACCTCACCAGGCGCCCGCGGGTGGTCGCGGGGCTCGGGGCTCTGGCCAACACACCCAGTTCAGGTGCAGCCCTGGTTTGGGGAAACCAAGCGCGGCCAGGCCCGTCCAGTTAGGACACCGGAGAGGCAGAGGCGGCCAGAGCACCCAGGGCCCCCCAGGGTCCCGCCTCCAAGGGTAACTGCTCCCCGTAAGTCGTCCTCTGGCTTTAAGATTTTTTTTTAGCTTCATAGGCACAGGACCCTACCGTGTGCATGGTCTGTGCCTTCGGATGAAGCGCAGGCCCCCCCCCCCCCATGTCGGCGCCTGTGGCTGGTGCTTCTCGGGGGGGGGGGGGACAGTCCGTGGGGCCAAGCCTGCGCAGCTGTGTCCACCCCGCTGTGCACGGGCACCCGCATTGTTCCCAGCGGGCCACGGTCACCGAGGAAGCGCTGGGACCCTTCCCGGCCGCGGGGTCCAGGACAGGCGTCCAGGTGGCGCCAGCAGAGGCCGCCGGGCAGGTCCCCGCAGGGTTCAAGCGGTTGGCGGCCCACTCGGCAGAGGCGGCTGCAGGTGCTCCCGCTCCTCAGCGCCACCCGGTACCGAAGGGCTTTGTCCCTGCGGTGACCCTGGAGGGTCACTTGGAACCCGGGCCTCAGACGCCAGCCTGACTTCAGGGCTCCCCTCGGGGGTGAGTGGGAGGCAGCCTCTGCCCGAGTGGGGACGGGAGGAGGGTGTGGGGGGAGGGCGTCCGGAGGAGGGGACGCGGGAGGAGCAGGGGCGGGAGGCGCGGGTGCAGCGCTGGGCCTGTGCGCTCACAGGGGAGATGGGAAATGAAGCCCGAGGAGCCCCGCGCAGCCTCTACTCTGCTTCCTGGGTCCCCAGGGCGCTGAGGCCACGGCTGGGAGGCAGGCAGGCAAAATCGCCCCTCGTGGAGCTCCCGCGAGTGAAGACAAGTGAGGGTGTCGCACCCTCTCCTCTCCGTGGGGGCTCCTCCAGCACCGAAGGGCCCAGCCCTGGGGGGTGCTGTGGAAACACCCCACCGGGCCCTCCCCAGCTCAGCTCCAGGGGTGCGCCTTTATCGACTTGTTTCCTTCTTTTTTTTTTTTTAGATTTGTTTATTTATTTATTTATTTATTTATTTATTTATTTATTTATTTACTTATTTATCAGAGACACAAGAGGAGGGAGGAGCAGGCTCCATGCCGGGAGCCCGACGCGGGACTCGATCCCAGGACTCCAGGATCACACCCTGGGGGAAGGCGGGCACCAAACCGCGGAGCCACCCAGGGATCCCCTTGTTTCCTTCTTTTAAAAATTTAATTTAAATTCAATTAATTACCATATGATGCATCATTGGTTTCAGAGGTAGAACTTAGGGGTCCGTCAGTTGCACACGCACCTGTGCTCACCCCATCCCGGGCCTCCCGGTGCCCCTCCCGCAGTCCGCCCGCACCCCTCCCCTCCAGGGACCCTCAGTGTTTCCTAGGGCCCAGAGTCTCTTGTGGTTTGTCTCCTTCTCTGTTTTTCTTAGTTTTCCTTCCCTTCCCCTGTGCTCGTCTGCTTTGTTTCTTAAATTCCCCGTATGGGCGAGATCACAGGAGAATTGTCTGTCTCTGACTTACTGCCCGCAGCACGATGGCCTGCAGCTCGGTCCACATGGCCGCACGCGGTGCCATCTCCCCCTCCTCCGGCTCCGGGCCCTGCACGCCTCGGCTTCTGCATCTACTCACCCGCCGGTTTGTGTTCTGAAAGGGTGATCTGGGCGCTCGTGCCCTGGATGTAGATGCTCTCCGCGGGGTGGGGGGCGGGAACAAGCGTGTGGTGGAGGGCGGCCGAGGACTGAGTGCCACACGGGGGCCGCGAGGCCCGGGCACAGTTCCAGGCCGAGTGGCCAGTCCGGCGCCACTGAGGTGCGCCCGAGTGAAGGCCTGACGGACATGGGGCCGGCCTTTGGGGGAAGAGCATCCAGGGCAGGGGAAGCGGCGAGTGCAAGCGCCCTGGGGTGGGGGTGGGGATGTCCCCAGCCTGGTGAAGGAGCAGGGAGGAGGCCGAGGCCGGTGTGGCTGGCAGAGTGGGGGGGGTGGTGGCGGGGGGGCCGTGAGGGCCCCGTGGAGATGAAGTAGGGCCCGGAGGCGTCCTAAGGACTCGGCTTTGCTTGGAGTGAGAAACAGAAGCCGTGGGAGCTGTTTCGGTGGAGAAGTGGCACCGACTCTCCTTTGACGGCGTCACCCGCTGCCCTGAGCCGGGTCGGGGTGGGGGCGCGGAGGGGGCGGGAGGGGGAGGCCGGGAGCCGGGGAGGAGATGGGTCTCCAGGGCCCGGCAGTAGGAGCAGCAGAATGTGCTGGTGGCCGGGGTGCGGCTGTGAGCGGGTCCAGGGCTGGGGCCTGCGCTCCTGGGGCCCAGCGGCTTGGTGGCGGCGGGTGTGCTCGCTGCGGCTGTTACGAAATAAAGCTGCCACTTCACATTCGAGGTTTCGTGTGGACACGTTTCGGGTTCCCCGGGGGGCATTCCTGGGCCGGGAGTTGTTGGGTCACAGGGCAACTCTGTGGTTACTATTATCTTGAGGAACTGCCCAGAGGTTTCCCAAAGTGGCTGCAGCATTTTAGGTCCCACCCGCAACGTATAGAGGGTCCAGCCTCTTCCCCTCATCGACACTTGTCATTTCCTTTCCAATTTCAGCCACCAGAGGTGAGAAGCGGCATCTCGCTGTGGTTTTGACGACGGAAGGCGGGCAGCACCCTCTCATGCACCTGCGGGCCGTCTGAATGCCATGTTTGGAGAAATGTCTGTTCAAATCCTTTGCCCATTTTTGTCTCTTTATGGCTGGGCTGGGAGTTCTTCGTATATGCTCCATACTAGTCCCTTACCACATACATGATTTGTAAATCTTTTGTCCCATCTTGTGCTTTCTGCCCCCCCCCCCGCCACTTTCTTGACGGTGTCCTTCGAAGCACAAGAGTCTTTAACCTCCATGAAATCCCACTGGTCTTTTTTGTCCCCTGTGGCTTTGCGTCATATCGACAAACCACTACCTCATACAAGGTCGTAAAGACTTGTTCTCATGTCTTCATCCAAGAAATGCCCTATTTTGAGTTCTTTTGTCATCATATGGTGCAAGACAGGGGGTTGTCCGGCTTCCCTTTTCTGCATGTTGACGAGACAATTACCCCCCCCCCCTTGGAATCGTCCCCACACCTCGTTGAAATGTTCTTGTGCTTTGCTCCGGGAGGAACGGAGGCGGGTGTGGATGGTGGTGAGCGGGAAGGAGGGAATGACGGGAGCAGCGGCGTCCAGAGGGAGAGGGGTGCCCAGCGGAGGGGCTGGCGCCCGCCAAGGTCAAGGCCAGTGTGTAGGACCAGGAGTGGACATGGGCACAGTGTCCACAGGGACCTGTCTCTCGTGTCCGCACGGAAATGGGCGCCAAGGCAGCACCGCCAGGGCCGAGGCCGAGATCGAGGGTCGGGAGCCGGGGACGAGGTGAGCGGCAGTGAAGGTGGGTGGGGAACCCAGGGTGCTCGCCGGCAACACAGCCGCGCCCGATGAACCGAGTGACCCCGGTCCGTGGGGTCACGTACTGTTCTTTGGCCGCATCAGGGAGGCAGGTGCAGGGGGAGAGAGTGCAGGGACCCGGGGCCTCTGAGGCTCTCTGTGGGGGCAGGAGGACAAGGCCGGGTCCAGTGGCTGCAGCAAGCAGCCCTCTGCTGACGATGGTCAGGGTCAGCCAGGGAGGAGGTCTTTAGCCTGCAGCCGCCAGCCGGTCCCCTCGAGACCGGGGGACAGTGCCACTGCCCCTCCATCTAGTGAGAGAGGGCGGGCAGGGAGTCACCAGTAGGTCCTCACTGTCCCAGGGCCCCTCCTCTGTCTCAGGGGGCTTGGGCTGCCACAAGGAAGCCCCGGAGACCGGGAACTTAGCCTCTTGGTGGACGTTCGTGGCTCACGGTGTGGAGGCTGGGGGCCCGGGAGAGGTGGCCAGCCCGGCCGGACCCTGGGGGGGCTCTGGCCTGCAGCAGCCCTCTTCCCACTGTGGCCTCCCCCCATGCTTCTCCCCCCATCCCCTCCGAGAGGCCCCTCCTCTAAATGCCATCACACTGGGGGTTAGGGCTTCAGAATTTGGCTTTGGGGGACACAGTTCAGTCCACAGCACCATCCCAGCTGCTCTTGACCTCGAGGGAGCCCAGCTGCTGGGCTTGAGACAAGGGACGGGAGGAGGAGGCTCCTACCCTCACAGGGAGAGTCTGCGTCCCGGAAGCCAAAGTGGAAAAGGACCATCTTCCAGCTTTATATTTTCTCTCCTGTATCTTGCAGAGCAGTGAGGCCCGAGGTGGCGGCCACTGGCCATACGCGGGTGGCACGTGGCTTCAGAATGGAGATGTGGTGCAGGCGTAAAAGCTACACAGCAGGTTCCAAAGCCTCAATATTTTTAAAAAAAGGAAAATATCTCAAGAGCCATTCATCTCAATTACACGTTGAGGCGATAATCGCTTGGTGGCGCTGGGCTAGACTCTATTACTAAGTGAATTTCACCTGTTTCTTCTTACTCTTTAAAAATGAGGCAAGTAGGGGATCCCTGGGGGGTGCAGGGGTTTGGCGCCTGCCTTTGGCCCAGGGCGCGATCCTGGAGACCCGGGATCGAATCCCACGTCGGGCTCCCGGTGCATGGAGCCTGCTTCTCCCTCTGCCTGTGTCTCTGCCTCTCTCTCTCTCTCTCTCTGTGACTATCATAAATAAAAAAAATAATAATAAAAAAATTGCTTAAAAAAAATGTGGCAAGTAGGAAACCTAAAGTTATAGCTGTGGCTCGCACTTGCGGCTTGTGTTACGTCCTGTAGCAGAGACACCAGAGAGAAGACCCCACGTCCCAAAGGGCCCCCGGCTCGGCAGGCCCTCCTGCCCGGAAGCCTAGGTGCCTGTGCCACCCGCCTGGGGATGAGCGGGACCCGTTCCCGTGCCAGCGGGGCCAGGCCTCCGAGAGGGAGGGCCTCCAGGCCAGTCGGGGCGGCGGTGGACGGTCCCTGGGAGGCAGCCCCGGGAGCTGGGGGCCAGGCTGGTTCCTGTTTGGTTTCGGGACAGGTGCATAATGCACGTGTTTACACCCTGGAATCCCCCCGTGGAATTACACGAGGTGCCACACCCGGAGATCCTGGTCCACCTGTGCGGCTTCCTCTGAGCCAGGCTCTCCCTGCCCGGGAACCCCGAGCAGGTCCCCAGCACCAGTTCCCGTTTGTCTTTCTCTTTATTCCCCCCAAGCCCGTAAGTGTGAAGTTGCCGTGGGGCACACGCGGTGTAGGCAGCCGATCTGAATCCCAGAGGCCCATCCCCGTCTCCTCCGCATTGAAGTCAGTGATGAGGCTGCCCAGGAGGCACCTTGACTCCCTCCCTGGTGCTCGGCCCTGGGGCGGCTCCCTCCTCTCCCGCTGCCCCGAACAGCAGGGCCCTGGGCGTCTTGATCTCGTTTCCATGGAGATTCTTGTCTCGTCCTGTCCCCCTGAAGTGCAGTGTCTTGGCTGGAAAGTGTGTGCAGCTTCCTGGTTCCTGAGCCTTTTCTTCTTCAAGCCTCTCTCCCAGAGGACCGTGTCCCGGCGCGTGGTCGCCGCCGCTCTGTGTGCGTCGTCATCCTGCGGCCCTGCCAGTTTGGGTTAGGTCTTTTTTTTTTCTTTTTTCTTTTCTTTTTTTTTTTTTTTTTGACAGATAACTGCCGCAGGTTTATTTGTACAAACAGCACAGGAGGACACCAGGCCCGTGCACATGGAAGCCCAGCACTGTAGTCTCGGTGGGGGCCTGGGACCTTTGGGAGCCTGCGCTGCAGAGGAAAGAGCAGGGGCCGGAGCTGGGGTCGCAGCTGCAGCCTGGGCCTTGGTTTGAGCCTTGCCCTGAGCCTTTGGCCAGCAGAGCCTCAGACCTTTGGCAATGCGGGCATGAGCACGTTCCCCAAGCTTGGGGTGAGCGGTGTAGGCTAGTCGATTGAGCTTGGGGCTGCCGCCCGTTGGGATCTTGGGCTTAATCTCCTTGGACTTCACAAGAGCCTTAGCCTCGGCACGTGCAGTCATGGCTTTGGTACTGTGGGCCTGCATCTTCTCCAGGCCCTTCTTGTTGTGCTTCTTGGCAAAGCGCATGTTCCTCAGGAACTTGGGGTCTGCCCCATTAAGAGATTTGTATCTTTGTGACTGAGCTTTCTTTCCATTCTTTTTTTTTTTTTTTGTAATGATTTTATTTATTTATTCATGAAAGACAGAGAGAGAGGCACAGACCAGGCAGAGGGAGAAGCAGGCTCCATGCCTGGAGCCGGAGGCGGGACTCAATCCCAGGACTTCAGGATCATGCCCTGGGCTGAAGGTGGCGCTAAACCGCTGAGCCACCCAGGGATCCCCCTGTGACTGGGGTTTCTTGATGCCATTTCTGTGCCATTTTCATGACTGCTTGTGCGTGGTATGGTTCTCGGGGTTGGCCACGTCTGCACCAAAGCCCGCGGCTCCCCAAGCACCTCGGACCAGAGGAGAAAAAGAAAGGTGGGTTTGGTCATTTGTATGGACGTTCACCCATTAATTCGTTCAGGCTTTTGCTTCGTTGCAAAGGAGAAGGGGGAAAGGCCGTCCCTGAGACGCACACGAATGAAAGAAACAGCCACCACGTCAGTAGTGGAGAGAAACCCCTCGCGGCTCCCCCTGCCTGCCAGCATCTGGGGTCCCCACGGTTGCCCCGAAGCTGCAAGTCAGGCGGCCGGGCCCCAGCTTCACACCTGACCCGCTGTTAGCAAGTCTTCCGAGAAGCCTCCTCTGGCCAGTAAAGCCATTTACCTCCCCACAGCCCCCTTCCCGGGGTGGTTTAGGCCAGTCCGGGCGGATCTTCATTCCCATATTTTGATTGTTCCGGATCGAGACACGTTCTGGTTTCTCTGCAGACACGTTGCAGGACACATGGTGACGCTGTGCTCGTGGCTTATTCAAACCTCAGGAAGACCCCAGCCCCCTGCCCAGGGGAAGTCCTAACAGGGCATCCTTGAGGAGCCACCTGCTGGCCTGGCAGGTGACCCAGGGAGGCAGAGGGAAGGGAGAGGATGCGCCGCCTTGCCCACTAGATGGCTCCTCTCAACAAGTAGTGGGGAGAGGACCACCTCCTTCCAACCCTGGAGCCCCAGGCCTCACTGCCCCCCCCCCCCACGTTGCAACACACCTCCGTCGTGTTTACATCCAACCCAGACATCTCAGAAAACGGAAAAATAAAAGAGCTCATTCCAGCTAAAAATACAAACATCTGCCCGCGAAGAGCCTTGCCCGGCGCTGTCGTGTCTACACCCAAAGCAGGTTAATAACCGGCCCGAACAGATGGTTTCTTTCTATAATTACTGGGTCCCCCACCCCCACCAAGGCTCCTCCTCGGCTGCCTCTTTGCCCTGCTGGCAGCCCCCTGCTGTTTCCAGCCACCCCGTTGTCACTGCCCACCTGCCACCACCCTGCCAGCGTAGGGGCCAGCCCACAGCCAGCCCTCTGCTCAGGCTGGGACCCCCTCACCCTCTGCTGGGAGTCAGCCACTGGGCCTGGGGGGCGTGCGTCAACACCACCTGGGGAGAGGGCCAGCAGGAGGCCACCCCGGCCTTGTCACCCCCATTAGCAAAGGAAACCGAATCCAACCAAGATGTCCACAAGCACCCATCTAATAAGGAATTGTGATACACCCTCCTCCTGTGTCTTGGTGCAGATGCAGTGAGATGTGTACCCCAAACCCTGTGGCGGGGAGGGCACCTTACGGACACTCCCTGTCTCGAAAGAACTTTGATTGAATGTAAGACCTTCAGAAACCTCGCAGACTTTTTGCTCCGGCAGTCTTACTCTGGGGAATGTGTCTGAACGACCGTCTGTCCGAGTCCAAGATGTGACGGAAGGTGAACACAGAATGTTCGCTGCAGCAGTGAAAACCACACCGGGGACCGGGCTCGGTGCCGGGATGCTCCACGCCATGACGCATATTTACAAGACATTTTGAAGGACGACGTCCCAGATGTTGGTGTTAATTGGTAACAACGTGCAAAGAAGTCTGAACGGGAAGAACGTGAGTGTGTTGGAGATGCCGACACGTGGTATTAGAAGCTGTGCTGAAGCTGGAGGAATGTGTAACACAGTCCTTTAAGGGTGATTTTCTGGATGGTAACACTGAAAAGTGGTCTCCTGATGCTTTTCTGCATTTTTCTAAGCTTTCATCAATAAACACAAACGCAAGGAAATGATTATGGTTTCCAAAGACCATTTCAAGGGGAGTAAGGGAAAACCCAAGACCGGGGCACGGTGGCTGCCCCCGGGGAGGGGGCTGGGGTAGGCCTGCATGCAGGGGGAAGCCTCGCCTTTCCATCTGTCCTCTCTGGAGTCTTCCGAGTTTTGCACCAGGCTCTAATTACCTGTTAAAAGAATAAATAAATGAAGATTTTGCAAAGGAGACACAGAAGGAAACACTAAAGCACAGGAGGCGAGGGGAGAGCCGGAGGGAGAGCCAGGAAAGTGCTTTCTCCTCCCGAGTTAGGACTGGAGGTCTGCTCTGCGCATCTTGGGCCCAAAGCCCCTCCCAGGGCACCCCAGGACCCTGCTGGTCCCGGGTGACTTCACTCAGGAAGGGCTGCTCCATCTGCTTCAACTCTGGTCAGGAGTTGGGTCAGTGTCTTTCCCAGGAATAAAGGCCGGCAGGCCAGGGGGTGGGAGGGGCTCCCGGGGACATCAGTGCGGGGCGTCCAGGACCCCGGGGCCGTGAGTTGTCACACAAGGTGCCTGGGGGGGGGGTCGAGGGAAGCCGCCCCGGTTGGTTGCTCACGCTGGGCCCAGCTCTCCCAGACCCAGGGGTCGTAGGGTCCTAGTTCAGAGGCCCTGGTCTGGCCTTACTCCGCGTGGGCTCTAGTTCAGCCTGACACGGTCCTTACCCCCCTGGAGGTGCCAAGATGCCGTCTCCTCGGCAGCGGTGCCCCTCCTCACCCCAGGGCGGCCTGGGCCGGGTGCCCTGCCCAGGCCTGGGGACCCAAGGGACACTGTGCACGGGCTCGGGGAGGCCTGGGGATGCCTGTGGCCGTGTGGGCACAGGGCAGCAGGGGCGCCAAAGCAGGCAGCCTGCAGGGTCAGGCCTCGGGCACCGGACTTGGGAGGCTTGTGTCATTCCTTAAAGGCACAAATCCAGCCCCTTCCCTTGTGCTCCGTGCGAGCGACCCTGGATGTTGGAGACGCTTTACGGAAAAGGCCCGTCCGGAGACATTTACTGCAATTTGATGACACCGAGTCCAGCTACGGTTCTGAGAGCAAAGGGAACCCAGAATAAGAACCGTGTCGGGTGGACGCACTTCCTAGATCCTATCACTGCAGAAAGACCAATACTCTCGACTGGAGGCATTTAATTTACAGAGCAAAACTCAACAACTACCACAGCCTGCTGGATGGGGAGACTGAGGCCCTGGGGACGGGACGGGTGCCTGGGCGCTTGTGGCTGCAGTCGCCGGGCCACCGTCCGTCGGCGGGGTGGCTCGAGGCAGTGACAGCAAGGGGCACACGACGGAAGCAGGATTCCCGTGGGGGCCAGCTCCCAGGTCCCGAGACGCGGTGCCGCAGGGGAGGGACAGGTCCCGTAGCAGGTGCTGAGGACGGGGCCCCCACGGGAGCAGAGGAACCACCAGAGCAGGCTTCAGGAAGCGCCCCCCACGTCCGCGGCAGGCACAGATTTGCTCCTGGCCAGGCTCCCGGCGATCGGGGTGTCAGGACCCCAGAACAGCGTCTTCATAAATAATTTCCAGTACACGATGCAGCACAGTAGTAGCGTCTCCAGCGCGTTTCACTCCATCTACGGCACTACACGGGCGATGTGGGGTTTCCCAAGGACGCGTCCCCTCCTGTGCGTCAGGGGACCTGAGCCGCCCCCAGGAGGAGCCTCTAGTCACCGTACTGGACCTCGGCCCGCAGCTCCTTGGTGACGTAGTTCACCAGCATGGCCAGCAGCTGCTGCTTCAGGGCCTCACTGCCCATGACCAGCATGGTCAGCTGCACGGCGTCCGTCCACTCCAGGTGCCTGACGATGGCGGTCACTTCATTAAAGAGCTTCTGCTGCTCAGAGGGCGGCAGCTGCATCAGGATCTGAGGAATCGGCTGAAACTGTCCGCTCGTCATCCACGCGCCCAACAGGCCCCCAACGGCCCCCCCTGCAAAACAAGGACGGCTTCGATGAGTGGGGCCTTATCCATACACAAAGGCCTAGGTTCCTGCTGGGAGCACGCCCGCGGCCATGACGAGTGGGCACATTCCTGAGCAGGCCAGCACAGCCTCGGCCTCATGTCCCCTCCACCCACAGTCGGGGGGCAGAGGTTTATGGGGACTTTGGTCCATTTGGCTCAGATAATTGACACCCAGCATGCCCATCATTAAGCTCTGCCCTCACAGGTGCAGCACGAGGTGTCTCCTCGCAGCTGCGCCAACTAAAATCTTCCCCAGGGCCTGGAGGTCTCCTGCTTCCCACAGAACCCTCTAGTCTGAACGCAGAGAGCTGAGAAGCAGGTGCATTTTCAAGGAGAATCATCTCCGTGGTGGGGCTGGGTCTTCCCCATCATGCACTCTTTGTCCCTGAACTTTGGAAATGTCAACTGAAAGCACATGGTTAAGGGACCCTGGGGACAGAGGAGACCCGTACTCTGGAGGCCGTGGTTGTCCACGCCAGCCCTCCAGAGTTGTATGGTGATAATCATCCAATGTAGGTTACCCTACTCCTACTCTTCCCGCAACCTCAAAGGGGCATAATCGACATTTTTAAAGGTAAATTTAGGATCCAGTTTCGGGTGCACGACTTGGGGACTCGAGGGCTTGTGTCGAGGGACGGTTGTATCTGGTCGGGTGGGCTGCAGGTTTGCTACAGGAAGGGGCCCTGGGGCGGGGGAATCACACTCAGGTGCCCTCTGGGGCCAGGCAGGAATGAGGGCGGCTCAGGGAGCCTATGAGTGACCGGGAGCTGGGTCCCTGCCTAAAGGACGGTGACTACCCCTTGCTGGCCCATGGCTACCACTCAGATGCGAGGTTTCTTCATTAAAAATCCCGTGATTCCTAAAGATCATGACGAGATGGTAATGGATGCAGCGCAGCTACTTAGTGACCCTGAAAGGGCAGAGCCTGGACAGGAGAGACGCTGGGGTCACGTGGACAAACCTGGCAAGGACCCCCTGAACCAGAGGTCGTGGCGGGCGTCCCCAGGAAGGCCCCGTGGAGGTCCCGTGTCCCTGAAAAGGGGCCATGAGCCGGGCGCCCCTCCTCCTCCGAAGGTCTGGGACAGGAAGGGACCGTTGACGCGAGAACTAGCAAAGTCCCGATCGAGCCCGGGAACGGAGAATAGTGACGCGTCGGGGCTGGTTGCTGACTTGTGACAAATGCACCGCAAGGACGCAAGATGGGAACGTGGGGGGAACGGAAGCGGCTGAGGGGTTTGGGGGGTTCTCTCGCACGGTCCGCCAGCCGCTCTGTGCTTCGCCGGCCCGGTCCAGGTGAAGGGTTTCTCTGAAAGGAGACACCGGGGCCAGAGGGGCCCGGGCCTGGGTGGACCCCGCCAGGAGGCGGGAGCCTGCAGCCTCCCAGGAGGCCCGGCGTGGACGCAGCTGGAAACCCGCTCCTCCCCGGGACGGAGCCAGGCCGGCCTCGGGCCCGGAGGCGGAACGCGGCCCCGGCCAGGCTGCCCCTCGGCCGCAGAGGAAGGAGGACTCGGGAGGGGAAAGCAGTCGTTCCCAAGGTCTGCTGAACGTCCCCCACGACGCCCGAGAGACGCCTCAGCCGGCGGCAGGTGCGCTCATCTGCACCTGGACGGCTGTTGCTGCTCCGGCCTGGGCCCGTCTGCTCCGGACCCGGCCGTCTCTCCCCACGAGCAAGTGGAGAAGGGCCCCCCCGGCTCTGCTCGTGGGTGCTCGGCCGTGCCAGCCTCCCCCGGCTCCCTCTGCAGGGACACGTAATGGTGCCAGGGCCAGGAGGCCGGCGGGGACCCAGCACGGCCCCACTGTCGGACGCTGGGACACGTCCCTGCGGGGAGAGGCGCCCCGGGTCTGGGTGGACACGTGCCATTTGCAAGGATGCCCGGATTCCTGAGACATTCAGGCTCAAGCCCGTGTTTCCCATAGGATGAGTTAGGTACACGGAGACCATGTCACAGAAGCAACCTCAGCTCAAAGCATCGCACACGGTCACCCTTCCGTGGGGTCTCTGTGGCGTCAAGGCTGTTTGTACGAGGCCCTGGAGGCTGGCTGCCCCGCGCGGAGCTTGCACTTACCAACAGCTAGTCCGGGTGGGCCTCCGACCAGACCACCGAGGAAGGCCACAGCCCCAGTGACCAGGGCGCCCTTCCCAGAGTGCTTGATGGCTGCCTGCATTTTCCTCTCCTCAGCGATGGAGCAGAGCAGCCTCATGACGTCTTCCACCACGAGGGGCATCTTGGCGAGCCTCAAAGGAAGCATTTCTAAGGGAGAGTGTTAATGAGCATCGGACTATTTCCACCCAAACGCTACTCCCCCTAGAGTCGAGGCCGAGTCTCGCGTGGACGGCGGCAGCTCGGCTGGAGCAAGGCCAGGACGCACGTCCCCGGTCACCCGCAGAGGCCAGTGCACCCTCCTGGCGTCTGCGGCCTCCTGCTGGCTCCCGCATCCCCGGGGCCTGGAGCCTGGCAGGCGGCACAACTGCCCGGCCTCGATGCCGGCCCTGGGACGGGGCAGGGGGAGGCTCTGGATGCGGGGACGCACGTGTGCCCGCCCTGGGCCCCTGAGCACACTCGCCCAGTCCTGCGTGTGAAGTGCAGACACACCAGCTACAGGCTGAGCTCCCGAGGTCTGAAGGGATCGGAGGCGGGCACCCAGCGGGGGTCAGGGTGGCCCTGGCGGATGTTCTCTCACCCATACACGCCTCTGACACGCCACTGATGCCAGTGGGGCTCCGCATGTGGGCTGCGAAGGCAGGGCCAGGTGACCCGGGAAGGGCCACGACCTGAGAGGCGACACAGCCACGGTGCAGGCTGAGCTGCTGCCTTTGCCACAAGCCTCCAGCTGGCGTCCTAACCGCAGTGTGGACAGCAAGAGCTTAGGAGAGCACGACCCAGGGCTCCTGCCACCTGCCACGTTGCCCTCGAGCTCACAAAGCGCCACCCACATCCCCCCAACGTGTCTGCTTGACCAGGTGGGGTGTGGAGGCCGCGCAGGGTGCTCCAGGGCCTGGAGGAGGTCAGGTGCGCCTGCCCCGCCCTGGCTCCCTGCGTCCCGGACCTGCCAGGACACCCGTGGCGCCCCGGCTCCTTTCCCCGCACTGCAGCCCTGGCACAGAGTCCAGGCCCCTCCTCCACCCTGGAAGCGAGCCGCCGGGACGGGCGAGCCCCGTGCACACACGCGTCACAGTAACGCACTAGCGTCCTAAGGGCAACCGGACTGCACCTGGCGCGAGTCCCTGAGAGAGGAGGGGGCGCGGGCTGGGACTTGGTTTACCCGGCCCGCAGGTGCTGCGCAGCTATGCCAGCAAAATGAGTTTTGTGTCAGATACTAATGTATTTCGCGTATTGAGAACCCACGGGTCTCATTTCACGGCAGGTCCCTTCGTAGAGCGAGCGGTCCTCCCGGGTCCCCGCTGTGTCCTTCACACCCGGCTCATGCCGGCTTTCTGGCCGTCCGCTGTGCTGGGGAGCAGGGAGGCCGCGGGCAGTCCTGGCAGGCCCTCTGGAGGCGGCGGTGAGCTGCCCGCTGCGGGCTCCCGAGGAGCCCACCATGGGCTGCGGGGCTGCGGGCGTGCCCTCACCGGTGGGGAGGGCGCACCCGCACTCACACTGCGGGCGAGGAAATGCGCGGAAAGGGGCAGGAGAGGCCCCCCCAGTGTCCCTCAGGGAGCCTAGCTCCCCAGCTGCTCTGAATGACTTCCCAGCAACGCCAGGGGCTAGGGAGGCCTTGTGGTGCAAACGGCACCCCCGGCCCCCCGGGCCCAGCAGGGCACAGGCCAGGGCTGCGCAGAGCTGGGGAGCCAGCCGGTGTCGGGCGGTGGACGCGGCCCCTCCGGGGCCCGGGCAGGAGCGGCCCACCTCTGCCCGGGTGCAGGGGCTCCCCACCGAGGCCTCACTGCGAGACACCCCTGGGTGAAGCTCCTTGGGGCCTCATTAGCAGGTAGAGCATCACCCGACCCCGTGGAAGGGCTGGGACCCGGGGCCCGGGGCCTCGCTGAAAGCCCGGCTCCTGACTCGTGACTTCACCACGCGGGGTGGGAAGTCGGTGCTGCGTCTCCCCACTCCTCGCCTGCCGTCTGTACCGCAGGGACGCGGGGGGACAGGCCTCAGGGTGGGCCGGCGCCTCCCCACGGCGCACGTATTTCACCAGCAGGTTCACGCACAAACGGGCTCTGGGCCCAGAGAGCCCCTCTGCTGCCCGGGGGCTGGGGGGGGAGGGGGAGGGGCAGCGCCAACTGGCGGCCCCAATGTCACCAGCACCAGGCTGGGGTGCTGCACGGCTGGTTCCGGGGAAGAGGGAGGTGAGCCCACCCGGGAGCCCAGCGCGGCTTCTGAGCTGGACCAGGTGGTGCGAGGAGGGGGAGGCTCCGGGGAGGGGGACGGTCGGAGGAGGGGAGGCTCGGAGGGCACCTGGCGGCCTCGCAGAGCCCGGATGTGGCCTCAGTCCCGCCTCTTCTCTGTTGGGCTCTATAGGGTCCCGGCAGGCCTGTCTTCCTCCTTGGCAGGCCGGGGCACATGTCCCCACGGCCCCCGTGGCCCTGTCGCAGCAGCCCCAACTCCTGAGAGACGGGGAGTGGCTGGTGCTGAAACCCTGGCGTCCACGGCCATCTGCGCTGACCTGTCCTGACCAAGCACGGGGCCGCCCTGACCCCTGCCCTAGGGGAGCAGGTGCCTCCTCCCTGTGCCCCGTCCCTGCCCTCCCAGCCATAGGGAGGTCACCCTGTGACCTCTTGGCGTCTTGGCATCTCCCCATGTCTTTTTATAAAGGCTAAGAAAACTTCCAGCCCTTCGGATATCTTTTTATTATTATTATAATTATTCATGAGAAACAGAGAGAGAGAGAGAGAGAGAGAGGCAGAGGCCCAGCCCGAGGGAGAAGCAGGCTCCACGCTGGGATCCCGGGTCACGCCCTGGGCTGAAGGCGGCGCTAAAGGGCTAAAGGCCAAGCCACCCGGCTGCCCTCCCCCCCCCCCCCCCCCCCCCCGGGAATCTTCACCATCCTCCCATCCCGGGACTTCCGGCGGGCGGGCCGGGGCGCTGGCACCCGCATCCTCCTAGGACGCCGTCCTGGTCCTGCACACACCGGAGGGCGCACAGCCGGTGACCCCGGAGCTCGCGCACACCCCGGCCACTGCGGACGCCCCGCTCGGCGCCAGCGCCCTGAGTCCCGCCCCCGGGGTCGCAGCCCCCTAGGCCGCTGGCGCTGCCTCTGCCGTGACTCGGCCTCTCCGTGCCTCAGTGGTTCATACGGGCCCTGGACACCTGGTGCCGGGGGGCGGGCCCTGCAGCCCCTTGGTCTCCTGGCACCGCGCCCCGGGCGCTGGCCTCTCTGTGGGGACCCAGGCCCTGCACCTGCCGGGCCGCGACCCGGGGGCGCACAGGCTCCGGCTCCTCAGGCCCCGCGTCCCCCAGGCCCTGCTGCCCGCAGCCCCGCCCCGGCGCGCACCGCCCCCAGCGCCGCCGCGCACCCCGGCCCCGCGCACCCTCCCCCCGACCCGCGCACCCGCCCGCACCCCGGTCCCCGCACCCCTCCCCGCCCCCGCGCCCCCGCCCGCACCTCCTCCCCCTCCCCCGCCCCCGCGCACCCGCCCCGCGCGCCCCTTCCCCCACCCGCCCCGCGCGCCCCTCCCCCTCCCCCGTCCCCGTCCCCGTCCCCGTCCCCGCACCCCCCTCCCCCGTCCCCGCGCACCCGCCCGCACCCCAGCGCCGCCGCCTTCCGGCTCACCCGCCCGGGCCCTTCCGGCGTCCGCTCCGCCGCCGCGGCTCCCTCCTCCCTCCTCCTCCCCCCTCCTCCCTCCCCCTCCCCGCCCCTCCCGCCCGCGGGCTCCGGCCGCGCCCCTCCCCCTGGGGGCCTGGCCTGGGCGGCAGCACCGAGGTGCCCGACCTCGCAGCGCCCCTCCCGCTGGGCTCCCGCTGGGCTCCCGCCCCTTCCCCGGGCGCGGCCTGGGCCGCAGGCGGCTGCCCCGGGCGCCCCTCGGTGCCACGAGACCCCCGCGACCCCCAAGCCCGGATGCGGATGCCGCAGTGACCCGGACCGCGCGCGCCCCGCCCGGTGCCCCCCGGGGCCTCGGGTCTGGGCCTTTGAAAGACCGAGGCCTGGGTTTACTCCTGGCTTGCGGGGCATAGGTCACAGGGGGTGTGGACAACACCCCCACCCCCACCCGCACCCTCACCCCCACCCACCCCCCACCCACAGACTCAGGCTGGCCTGGAAGCCTCCCAAATCTGAAAAAGGCCCCGGGGTCCCTCGGTGACCACCCCGCTTGATCAGCCCCCCGTGCAGTGAGGTGCAGGGAGGCGGGTCCCCCGGGGCACCCAGGTAGGGGCTGGAGGGGCCTGACTGCAGCTGGGCCCCCCCTGGCTCAGAGCCCTGCCCTCCGGGCGCCTGGCACCCCGGGCCGTGGGCCGCCGTCACACCGCCTGGCTCCTCTCATTTCTTTTTCTTTTTCAGAACGGAAAGTAGTTTGGGAGTGTGTGTGTCCACACACGCAGCTACACCATACGTCTGCGGCCCAGGTGCACGCACACACAGCGCGCACTTGCACGCACCTGTGCGATAGCATGTACCGGCCCGGAAGGTGGTTCTTTTAAAAAGGTACACACGTGGCGACTTTAAAAAGCTGCACCTCTTTACCGCGTGCGGCCCGGTGAGCTGGGGGCTAGGCAGACGCCTGTGAGCCCATGTCACCAGCCACCCCCTAAGCCTATCCTTCCCTCCAGAAGTCTCTTCCCACCCTCCTTATTACTGTCACTTGTGGGCGCGCAGGGTAAGCACACCTGACGGCGGGCTTGCGGCCCTTACATTTGTCCACCGCACGGTCTTAGCAGGGGCAGGACGGACGCTCCCTGCCCGCCCTGACATATCCCACCGCCTCCCAGTAGGAGCCCCCCCGAGTTGGGCCGGGCGGGGGCGGGGGGGGGGGGAGCCTCCCATTCCCCTGCGGGCGGCTCCCTCTGGCGGCTCCTCAAGGAATCGGGCTGCCGACTCCCCGAGGTGGGAAGGCAGGAGAGATGCTGGAAGGGAAAGTCGCAGTCAGGGTCCTCCAGGGCAGGCGAGCTGCGGGCAGCCCCGCCACCTCTGCACCTGGGACCTGCACCCTGATATGAATGAAGTCGTGGGGTCACACGCGCACAAGCCCGTCGGGGTAGCGCGTGACACCGCGGTCTCCTCGTGGCAGCCAGGCCTCCTGCAGAGCGGGCCTGAGAATGACAGGCGCGGTGCCCTGGCGCGGCATCCAGACAGTGCCCCCGTGACGCCCACCGTGCTGAGGTCTGGCTGGGGGACCTTGCGGAGGTCATTCAGCTGCTCTATGCCTCAGTTTCCTCGTTCGGGAAATGGCAACGATAGTAGTGCCTTCCCATAGGGTCGTTCTGGAGACTCGGGGAGGTGATGCCCGGGCATCTAGATCCTTCTTGTTGATGTCATAGACTCTGAAAACGAAGCCCATCTCCAGAGTCGCAGTGGGAGCCTCGCGCCCGGGGAGGCAGGAGACTGATTCCACCCCCACCCCCCCACCCCCACCCCCACCCCCACCCCCACCACACACGGTCCACCATGCTGGAGGTCCAGGGGCCCCCGGCATGCCAGGCTGCGTCCACAGAGCCCGTGTGGGACGTCGGCCCATCACTCACCGCACGTTAACTGAGCACCTTGGGCTTCCCGAGGTCCCTGGACTCTGTCCTGTGCCTGCTGAGGACGGGGAGGGGCATCCCTGGGCCCGAGGCTCAGAGAGCCTGGATCAAAGGCCGAAGGGAGGCACAGTCCCCGGAGGCTCTCCAGGCTTGCAGAAGCTCTGCAGGGTGCAAGGTCCATCTCAACCGTGTGCGGGCTGGGGTAGAGGACAGGGGCTCATGGGACGGGGTGCGGCCTAGGACACCCTTCCTTCCGTGGCCCCGTCTTTCCGGGGACGCACGCCATTCCCTTCGTACGTGGAATGTTCGGCGCACTGCTGGCCACGTAGCAGGGAGATGGATGGGTCGGCTAGAGCCCCGTGACGAGGGACCACAAACAAGGTCCTCGCACAAGTACCAGCGTCAGGGCTGCAGATGCCTCTCCAGGGTGACACGATTCAAGGCCAAACGCAGCTATTCCACAAATGCCAGGTAAGCGTGCGAGGATGCACATGGCACCTGGGGCACAAGGAACTTTCAGGCTCAGCCCAGGCGTCAAAGTCGTGGAGGGACCACGGGGCCGCCCGCCTTTGGTCTCAGGGAGCTTAGTTCAGCAAGGGCTGTTGTGGGACGAGCTGGCTGGGACTGGTTACGAGCCCATCCCGGGCTTCCTCGTCCTTCTAAATACTTAAGTCGTCCTCTTCCTTGGTATTTACGTCCTTGCGATATTTGCCGACGGCTGTCCTGTCCCTTTGTCATCGCTTAGCACCTCTCCACCGATTTGCCATGTGCTGAGTGTGTCATCCTCATTCATAGTATTATTCGCTATTATGTCCCCCTTGCACACTCCCTGGGTCCCTCAGCCACCATCACTGCCGCGTGAGTTTCCTCCAGGTCCCACCCACACGCTCCAAGTCACCGGGATGAACCGTCGGAAGTCAGTAGTCAGGTGACAGGGGACGGCTCACAGGCCCTCTGGCCTCCTGCTCCTCCGTCATTTTTGTCACTTTCCCCAAAGCCACATCAAATAGACAGACGAGCCGAGTGAAAACGGCGTGCTTACGGTGCCAGAGCAGTTTCCAGACAACTCCCCTGCCCCTGCTTCCACCCAGACGGCCCCCAGCGCCCTCGGCTACGAGATGACGCTGAGAATCGGCGCCCTCGGCGCCCTCGGAGGAGGGCCAGAGTGGAAAGCGCTTCATAAACTGCAAAGCGGGGAGCGTGGCGGTACCCGCGATGCATTCCACGCACGACTGCATCCCCGCGGAACGTTCCAGAGGTCCCCTGCGGCACAACCAGGAATTCTCAGCTAGGGTCTACGCAGCGAGCCTGATAGGGCCGAGATGCACCCTAAAATCTGTTTGCGGAGAGAACAGAGAGGTGCCCTCCTCCAAACCCTACCAAGTGAAGTGTGGGACCCGGAGCGGAGCGGCCGGGCCCTTGGGGTCAAGCCGCGGACGGCCCCGGGGGGGCTCTGGGGGGCGGAGCTGCTGCAAAAGAGCTGGGAGGAAAATCCACGTGGTCTTGTGGTCTTCCGTGTGGAGCTCGCTGAGGAGGCCTGTGCCCCCGGAGCACTGATCCTCAGTCCGAGATGCATGATTTTCCATGGTTCTGTAGAACAGGCCGGGCTCACGCCAGTGTTTCTAGAATTATCCCGTTGCCGTCAGAACAGCTTCTGGAACAACAGGACTCTTACCGCCCGGCCGTGTCCGTCGGAATGACCTTCCAGCACAGAAGGGGCGCCAGGGTCACTGCGGGGTGCTGAGGCCTGTGTTTCCGGGTGCTCGGAGGGCGGGGGTTCTTTCTCCCAAGTAGCTCTTCCCTCAGCGCGCCCCGCGCGGTTTCTCTTTCTTGTTTTAAACTTTGGCGTGTTCGTGATTTTGTTCTGTGAGGAAATGTGGGGCTTTTTTCTGTTTTGTTTTGGGGGGGGGTTAGCCAACACCGATTCCCCCAAGTTCCGGAGCCTGGAAGCCCGGACGCCGCCAGGGCGAGGGTGGGGCGAGGCGGGTTGCAGTCCGGGGTGCGCCCTCGGGGCCCGTGTCCCGGGTGTCCCGGGACGGAGGGTGCGAGTCTCTGCCGTCTCCCTTCCGAGACCATCCGTCCTGTCACACCAGGGCCCCACCCTTAGGGCCTCACGGACCCTAGGTGCCTCCTGATGGGCTCCATCCCCGAGCACGGTCACGCTGAATTTGCCTCCACGTGAATTTGGGGGCACACAGGGCATCGCGCTGAAGTTTTGTTATTACTGAAGAAAACCCAGAGCCCTGGTGTCGGGGAGCCTCATAGGCAACATTTCCGAAGCAGTAAATGATGAGTGGGTGCTTGAGACCCTGAAACGTGCAGCGCAGCTCAGGTATGTAACCTCCTCCTTCAGGCGGGAGCCCACGGTGGGGAGAACGGGGGACGGGCAGGAGGCCCCCCTTAGTTCACTGCCCTCTGACCCCCTGTTGGAAGCGCGGCCTGGATCCCGAAGCACGTCCCTGACTCCAGCACGAAGGTCATGGCAGCCGGGACGTCACCGCCCCTGGGGAAAGGGTGATCCCCCGATCCTGGGCATCCGCTCTTGGTTTAGGGCCCCCCCGCAGTGACAGGTGGGAGGACCCCGAGGGGTCCCCCAACACCTGCCCACACACTCCAGCACCGCCAGCAGCACCTCTGCCACCGCCGCCACGTCCGCGCGTCCCTGGAGAACCGCGCTGTCAGCTCAGACCCAGAGCTACCGACGGGGACACGTCCTGGCCCCGGGGAAGGGCCGAGGCTCCCAGCCACAGCCCCCCACTAGACGGAGCTCACGTCTTCTCGGCGCCCTGGTTTCCAGATGGTTCCTCAGGCTCCCCAAGATGCAGGGAGAGGAATGGCCTCTCCCAGGTTACACAGCTCGCGACAGAGTGAGGTCACACCTCCAGACCCCTGGGCGCCCGTTCTCCCCGCAGTAGGGACGGGATGGAGGGCCCTGCGGGGTGCTGGGGGCCGTGGAAGGCAGGGCGGCTGCGGGGTCGCACGCACGCCCCCCCCCCATGAACTGAGCCACCGGCAGGAGAACGACCCGGGAATTCTCCAGCAAGGAGACGCCCCCACGGTGGGAGCTCCTGGGAGAGGGGCGCCCCGCGGTGGACGGAGCTCTGTTGGGGCGCCGCAGCCTTGG